CAGGGCGCCTTGGCGCAGATTTTTGTGCGGTCTCAGCCTTACGGAGGCCCATTGCAGTTCATCTTGTCACTTTGGCGTAGAGCTTCTCCCCTTGCACAGGCTCTGACAAGAGCAACAACGGTTGGGCCCCAAGTGCTGTGATGGTTGCCAGTGATTTGCAGGATCCTGCCACTGCTTGGGCAAACTCGCATGTACGGCTTTGGAACAGAACAGCCTTCTGATTGGCTTGCAGTCGATTGCAGGGGTGCCCTACATTCAGAGCTCTGTTAGAAGCAATCTAAGCTTCATTGAGGTCACCGCTATGACTCCATTCCCTTTGCCAACGGCATGATTTCTGCCGGCATGAGCTGCCAATTGAGACTGGTCAGCACTGAGTGGTTGGCAGACTTGACGATGTGCGTCAGCTCAGTGCTGATGGCTGCCCTGTCCAAAGATCAAGACCAAGGGTCCACTACACACATGAAGAGCACGACAAGTTCTTCGAAGTGTGCAAGAACTTCAACTTCATCATCGTCCGTTGCAATCCAGGCCTGGCAAAGTAGCCACCCAGAGACCCAAGCAGCGAGCAGCATCGAGCATAGCGATCCTAGGCCAGATCAAGGCCGACGGCGGAGATCAACAGAAGTTCGACGACGGCATGCGTGAGATGCGCAAGGCGGGCATCCAGGCCTGGACGTCAGTGTACGTCAGTGGTATGTGAGGCAGAGGGATGGCATGCCTCGGCACAGGTCTGGCCCTCCCCAGACGTGATGGAGAAGATGGGTGCCAAGGACGCTCTCTGTAAGGCGGCGTGTGCTAGTGTGCAGTTTGGTGCGGGATGGTACGGGATGGTGCAGTTTGGTGCGGGATGGTGTGGGATGGTGCAGTTTGGTGCGGGATGGTGATCCCCCTTCACATTACCTCTGTAGAATGGGGGCCCCCGGGGGGCCTGTAAAACGTTTTTTTAGTGCCTATTAGGTGCCCTGGGACCCCTCATTTTACAGAGTTCAGGCCCGGCTCGACAGAGGACCCCCCATTTTACAGTGATCGCTGTTGATGTAGCATGTGCCCTAAGCCCAAACCCTAAACCTTAGCCCTAAATCCCTGATCCCCGAAAACCTTAACCCTAAGGCCTAAATCCTAAACTCTAAACCTTAAATCCCGGGTGCATGAACCATCATCAACCCTCATGACCCCTCATTGTATGAGGATGACGATGATGATGATGATGATGGTGATGATGGATGATGATGAAGATGAGCTACACCCTAAACCATAAATCTCAAAACCCTAAAGCCTCAACCCTCAGCCCTACGCCCAAACCCCTAAACCTTGACCCTAAATCCTTGATCCCCGAAAACCTTAACCCTAGGCCCAATTAAAGCATATTAAAGGCC